CTAGAATTGATAAGATCGATTGATATTTTATATATGTGTGTATGTGTGTACATAAGCCTTAACGAAAGCTTCATTGAATAATGAAAGCTTCCTTTACCTGGGGCCACGTGAATTTGAGGTCCATTCCGTATGGTCACCCATGTGAAATTGAATATTGGTGTCTCTATTTTTTTACAATTTAAGAAATTAAATGCATTCATACTTTGTTTTTTAAAATTTTCATTTTGATAATATCTCACCACATTTTAGACTATTAAATTACTCCTTCATTCTGATTTTAAATATAAAAGTTAGTTAATAGGTTTACTTTTGATTCTAAATATAAACACTCATTTAATTTTGTCTCTTAAATTTATAAATTTTTTTTCTAAATTATTCATATTGATTACACTTAATCCTCATCAAAGGATGGTTTTTGATGCAAATAATTAAAGAGAATATTTTAGAAAAACCAATAATGATTTCCCACAAATAACTAATTTAACAATTTTTTAAAAATTTCTATGAATTAACTATTTAACTTTTATATTTAAGTTATAATAAAGTGAATTTGTGTCCAAAAGTATTGCTTATTGGACTCTCATTCTTGTTAAACCCATCATCGTCATCTAAGTTTTTAATGTCCCTAAATTCGTGTAACTACATGTTTTCAGTTCTGGTATATTAAGATCTTAAAAATTATTAATCATTTGACTACATGCGAAGTTGACTTTTTTTTTTTTTTTTTAATCTGCAAGAAAAGTTGAAGGTTTCAAATAGTGGATAACAAACACGAACCAAATTGTCAGACATGGAAGACTGCCTAATTTATGCAAGTAGTTTCTCCACTAATCATGTTCATTTATTATCACGTGATGGCCTGAAAGCTGAACGAAAAATAAAAGAAAGATTTATATATGGTAAAAGAAAAAAAGAAAAATGTTTATTCTCTTTGGTCGTAAATACAAAAATTTGATAATTAATTTATAGAAACAAAAAAGTTAGTGAAGTCAGTTTTTTTTAATAAATATGTGTTATTTTTTTCAAAATATTCGTATAATAATTTATATTGAAAACTACCTTTATTGATAAAAATGTCTTTCAGTACGTGCAATTAATGAAATTGTTCAAGGAGTATTTGTATTAACTTTTCAAGAGTGATTTTATGGTATAAAGGTAAACATATGAGAAGAAACACTTGTTTTAAATGCTTATATCATTACAAAGCTCCTTCTAAAAAGAATTATAAATTTATGAGATGAATTTGATTGGAATCTTACGTTTAAAATCGCAATGAACACCAGCCACAGCTTCTGGCCAATGAATTCTTGATGGTAAAATAAGAATAAAGCCAAAAAAAAAAAAAAACAAGTACATAGTTTAATCGGTAACAGAGTTGTGTCAAGTTATATACCTGATACTCTCTCGGATTCGAATTTTGAACACATCTGCATCAAAAACTCATTAGAATAGCATTATTGATTTAATAATTTGTCCTTGTTCTGTTTACAATTTGTAATTTCATCATCACCACCACCATCCTTATCTATCAAATTCATTAATATATATGTTAATTAATAAACCTGTAACATGCACCGCCACCATCATCATCATCCTTATCCGTCTACTACCTCCGTTATTTTGATCCTAAATATAAGACCCCAATCTACTTTGTCTCTTATAATTATCTATTTTTTTCAAGGTAATCCTTGTAAGAATGATAATTTTAGCTAATACAATTGATTAGCAAGAATATTTTAGGAAAGAAAACACCTATTTATTACAAATAACTAACTTAACAAGCTTTTTTAATCTATTCAAATTAGTCATCTAGTTCTTATATATTAAGGACCTGGATAGTATATATCTATCGAATATAATTCATCCATAAATAGAAGCAAGAATAAGATAGCCCTTCAATAATGAGCTTAGAGTGTTGACTATACGGCTCCCACATGGTTGAAGTCAGAGACTAATATTGAAAGCAACATTTTTTTTCAGATTCAATGTATGTGGATACACACACATATGGGTTTGATTAATTTCTTTTATATATCAATTTTCCAACAGTGGGAAGCAAACATACTTAGGACGTGATTCTTTCAGGAGGGCAGGATACACTGTATAATAATAATCCTTGTCCATTTCATGACACAACCTTAACATATGAAACAGACCAAGAACACAAACAAAAACATGTTGCTATCAGATTACATATATATGTATATATAGAGAGAGAGATAAATGCGGTTCTCCACAACATATGAAGCCATGTGAAATTGAGATCTTCCTGCTTGGATAACGTGGGTTCCCATGTGTGTCTGAAAGTGTTTGTCTCCTGAAACACTTCGAGTGCCTGGAACGTTTCTGCACTTAAGAATAGTGACAAAAATTTTTTGTCCTTGGCAAACATGAACCTGTCTTGTGTGGTTCGATCCAATATCTGCAGTGGACAGTGTATGTGTTTTGCGCTCTTAATAAAAACGACAAGCCTCTAAATTTTTTGATATTATTGGGTCAATCCCATGTGGATAGTGTAATAATCAGCTTTTGACTCTATCTTTTAAACCAGCGTTAATCATGAACCAAAAGAAAAAAACTCCAGATTTGAAGGAATTCATAAGTCACTTTTCCCAAAGTATACTGCTGAACTTGTTCGAATTGGTTCCTCTCACTTGAAAATCAGAGAGCCTTGTGGTTTGTTTTGCTACCCTATGTACGTAATTTTCTTTAAAATAAGAGAATTTATTGCCTTCAGAATGTCTCTGTTGCATCTTTTGGTAAAAAAATGAGTCATTATAAGATTTATAGACAAACGACAACAACAATGAATTTTATTTTACAAAATAGAATCAATCACATATGAATCGTAAAACACTATTGTACTTTATGAATGATCAAATTTTTAGATAAATTGGTGACCAATTTGTTTCTTCTTTTCAGTATCTTCATGCCTTTTTTTCAGAGGACTCGTTACTAAAAAGTGCTTTCTATGCAAATTGATCATGGGGATGGTTAAGGCAAAGGCATGCCATCAAAGAGATTATGCAACTACTCTGAATATATGCTTCTCATGGTCATGTCATTAGGCTTATCAAATTTGTTCTTTCATTGGTTGTGGGGAACAAAATCAATCCTCATACATAGATAAACAATCATTAAGCATGAACCTAAAATAGTGCAACTTATATATATACATATATATATATATATATATATATATATTGTCCCGCCCACACTTTTCTGAAGGAAACTTTTTTCAACATTAAAACCAATAGGGTAACACGAAATCATTGAGGCCAAAAAAAAAAAGTACTCCTCCGGTCCTAATTATAAGACCCAATTGACTTATTTGAGGAGATTAAGGAAGTAAGTTAAGTTGGTTATTTATAATAAATAAGTGTTGTTATTCTTAAAATATCCTTGTTAATTAAGTATATTGGCTAAAACTATCATTATTAGAAGGATTATCTTGGAAAAAAATGCATAAATATAAAAGAGAAAATGGATTGGGTCTTATAATTAGGACCAAATAAAAAGTCAAATTGGGTCTTATAATAAGGACCGGAGGAGTACCATGATATACAGCACTCATTGTTATCACCACTTGAAAACAAATTCTTACTCATTGACACATAGATACAGAATCACAAACCTCTCTCAATAACTTTATAACTCGGTGATACGAAAGTTTTTATGTAAGAGATTATCTGTTCGATTTCACTTATAATCTCATGTGGTTAACAATCATTGTTACTTTTTTTTCATAGCCTTAACCTGAAAACTAAGTATAACTTACGCAAACTTAATATCAACAATATTAGGTACAAAAGTTTGCCAGGTAAAAATGTTATGAGACTTGGGTTAATTGTGAGGGTGATTGGCCTGTGTGTTTTTGTGTGTGGACGCGTTTACTGTGAGCAAATGAGTGATACAAGACTTGGGAATGACTGCAGAAGCCAAAGAGACACATGGGGTCCACTGTGTTGGAAAACAAAAACAAGGTCTTGATTCTAAGCATGCACGACAACCTCCATGCACATCATTAAAGTTGTCACTTGTTACCCTCTTAAACTATTGCATTTTCCAAAAGCCACCCCCCACAACACTCACCATTTCCCCCCTTCTTTTCAATCCTAGTTCTGAAAAGTCTGATCGGAGGAGGAGGAGGAGAAGAAAGCAAAGAGATCTGAGAGAGATAGACACAACATTTTCATTCTCCACCATGTGATGAGCTTTACACAAGTTTAGCCACTTGCCTCTCTCTCTCTCATATCGTTTTTCAAAAAGAAGCTGAAATTTAATTACTTTACTGTCGTTGTGTTGAAGGGGAAAATGACAGAGAAGGGAGATAATATCCAACACATGATGAAATATCCATACAAAAAGGAGAGTGGTACGTGGATTGTGAATGGGATTTGTCTTGTGGTTAGTGAGCAGAAAAGAGTAATGTGGGTCAACAGTTCCCCCCATAAAAATAAAGAGAGATCGAGACGATTGAGGATGGAAGAAGAATAATTCTAAAGATAACTTAAAATATAAAGGGTCGATCGTCTGGTCTGTTATCAACTAGGAAAATTGGAAGGAAAGCGGGGGAAAAAAAAGTTAGTGAGAAAGCAATGAGAATGTTTATTTGTTGAAGAAGCAACGCTTGATATAACATCATGATCAGCTCCAAATATTGTTTCCACTTTTGTCTTATTTATGTGCACCTTCCTTCCTTGTCACTTAGTGTGAACACTGTTTTTTTATCTTTCTTTCATCTTTTTCAAACTATTTCTTCTTTCTGTTTCCATTCATTGGCCTCGCGATTCCACGTACTACCTACTACTGCCAAAAATTTTCCCCAATAATTCATTCTTCTTCATCGTTTAGCTCCATATCAGTCAAAATCTGTCAGATTCAAGCGTCCAGTTTCTTCTTCCCCCTGTATTCTCTTCTTGATCAAGTAATTGACAAGACACAATAAGCTGACATGACAAGGAGGCCCATTTTTATCAGTGTATAAACAAACAAGAGTGTGGAAGCTGAACAAAATATATAATCTTTATATGCCGATAAACTTATATTACAACTCATCATCTTCATAATGCATGACTTGGGTTCTCTACTAAATATTAGATTTATCAAGTGACTAAGGAAGTAACAAAATAGACTCAGGTCTTATTACATATATATATATATATGGTGAAGAGAGGTTTTATATATATGGCTAATGAGCTTTGAGACTAACAAAATTTAGGCATAGTTTGAAGTGGTTGTGATCAGTCTCTCCAATACAAGAAGGGGTTTTTTCCTTTTTTAATGGCTTAAGATCATGTTATTGGATTTATAAATAATTTTGTTTATACATTATGCTTTTTTAATTTTTTTGGTCTTTTGGAGAACTGATGGCAACCCCTTCAAATGATTATACCTAAATTTAATGTCTTGGAAGAAGGAAAAAGCATAATTTTGGAGGCTAGGCTAGGCTGAGCCAAGAGAGCAGAGCTCGACGGAGCCATAATGAAGCAACTCCTGAATCATTTGCTCTATGTGATCATCTTCAAGTACTGGCCCAACTTCTTCTCCCTGGCCTTCTACCACCCATTGGGATTCCTCAGGTCTCATCTCCGGCCACCGGAATCCCGCGTCGGAACTCGTTCCGACAATGCCATTGCTGGAGGCACATGGGTAGTTATGGTGGTTATAGTTAGGCCTCTGAGGTGGTTCTTGTTGCTGTGGCTGTTTCTGCTTATTGGCCATTTGAAGTGAGAGCGAAGCCATGTGGCACTTGTGAAGCTTCGCCGTCAAAGTTGCAGAGAGATACTTGGAAGAAGACGACTGTGGCTCATTGGGATTAAACGGAAAATTAGTTCTTGCCTTTGTTCCACACATAAGCCTCGCTGCTTCGTCGTACGCTCTAGCTGCATCTTCCGCAGTTTCGAACGTCCCCAGCCATATTCTTGTCTTCCTGTATCCCACAAGAAACGGTTCATCAGTTTTTGAATTGTTACCGGAAAAACAAACAGAGCAATCAGAGAGAGAGAGAGAGAGAGAAAGAAAAGAACTTTTTAGGAGAGAGGGAATTACAGAAGAGGGTGGCGGATTTCGGAGACCCAGGAGCCCCAATGCCTCTGGCGGACACCTCGATAGCGTTGTTGGGGTCGAGCCATGATTGGATTTGGCTGGGGGTGAAGGAAGAAGAAACGTTTCGGAGAGTTTGAGAGGGCAAGACGTGTAAGTGAAGACTCTGTTGGAAACAGAACAGGGATGACTGAAGCGAGAGAGGCGAAGCCAAGATTTATATAGGCCCATTATTTGCGGCCTTCTCCTCCATCAATCTACAAATGGGCCCACACGTGGTTTTCATTAATAGAGTTTTTTAGTTAATCACATGATCTGCTTGTTGTTTGTAGATTGCAAAATAAATTATAATATTGCTGGTCAAATAAATAAATAAATAATAATATATTTTAAAAGTAAAGTTCTGATCTAAACTTTTCTTTTTAAATTAAAAAGACAGGCACTAACAATCTGAAATTATAAGTGAAATTGAACCAGCATCTACCCACTTATAAAAGAGTGTTAATACTATTAAGTTACAAGATCTTTGATTTGATTTAATTTTTTTTATTGTATGAAGAAAATCATCAGAACTTACACTCATACAGTCTCAATTTTAGATTACTCAAAACTAGGGCATCATATCAAAACCTATCTCGTCTAGGCTGACTAGTAAATCGATAAGCTAGTTTCTTAATCAGTTTGATTGTGAGGTTTGAATAGGCTAATCAAATTAAATTTTATATTCTCTCCCTATTGGAACTGAACAATATTGTTTTGATTTTTTTCTCTTAAATTTCAGTCCATTATACTTGTGGTTTAATAAATTTGTTGAATTCTGTGCAGTTTTATACATAAATTTTTATTTACTTGTCCATTAATATCTTTTTATTTAAATATTAGTATTTTTAGTATTATATAAATATTTTTATATATTTTAATTGGATTATATCATTTAAATCATGATCAAATTGATTTTGAATTGACCCTAATTTAAACTACTAATTAATCCTTAAATTACTGGCTCCACTAGTTGAATGACCCATTTGTTGAATATTATAGGAAGTTAATGTTTATGAATTTCTTAAATTTTATATTGACTTTTAATAAAACTTATCTACTTGTCAATATATGAATCATAATAATCTGAATTATTTCAATGTTACAGGACAAAAAATTATTCTCTTCTCAGACATGTCCATGGGTAATTTTGAGGTTTTCACAAAATCAGTGGTTTTTGAATTTTTTTTATTACATTAATTTTGCTTCCCATGGAAGTGATCATTACGGAGTCTTCATTGCTTGAAATGCGAATAATTCACCCCTTTTTAATTAACAATCCTCATGTTTATCCGACCATCATTTTTAAACATGATATAACTTCTAATGACGAGCTTAATTTTCTTACATATTTTTTTATCAATCATCTAATCTAAACAAATATCTAGGTTTTCTTAATTTTAAAAATAAATAGATAAATTCAATTATTTAAGAAAGATAAAAATTAATTGAAAAATCTCATTCATTGTTTAAACTCTTTTTTTTTGTTTTAATTTTTTTAATTATACATTGTATTCTGTGGGGGAAAAGACAAAATAATGAGAAATAAAATAATTAAATTGTAATATGTCTATCTTTATTCAAGCAAATTTTCAATTTGTGCTAATTTTAACAGCAAAAAAAAAAAGATACTTAGCATGTATCAGTAAGATAATGTGATCTTATACCTCCACTAATTAATTACAAAAAATTAAACACTACTCCCATCCTTATTATAAGGCATTTTTAAAAAATTATTATTATAAATCAGTAAGTAGGATATTAATCACATTTTTCTAAGACTACCCTTATTTAATATCTTAATTAATTAAATTCCTACGTCTTTCCTGGTATTCAATATGAGAAAATTTAATGTTTTTTGTTTTTAGATAACTTTAGTGACTTGATTACCTCTCTTTAGTTCTAGTAAGATGGTTGGATGTGTCTTGTAATAGAGATGAGATGAATGTTTAATACTTTGATCTTAGAAATGTGACTTAATTTGATATATAATACATTTTTTGTGTGACATTTGATATATAATACTTTGAATTGCAGTAATACTTATTATCAAATTTTGCCATTAAACTAAATATTCATTATCAATCATACGGGGAAGAAATTGAATTGAACTTTATAGTTAAACCAAAAAAAAAAAAAGGTTCCCAATGTTCAATGATCAGCCGCACATGTTCACATGATAATCGGATATACGAATTTAGGTTGAGTAACAATAATGATATATGTGCTTTTTAGTAAAATGTACAATAATGATACAAAAATAAATATGGAATACATTATAATACACATGAACGTAATCTAACAAAAATCAGTAGGCAAGATTAGCAATTAGTAGGTAGGACAGGGCAATCATTATAAATTGATAATCTAAATGTATATGCAGAGTGGCCACCTAAATTAATAATAATAATAATAACCTTAATTCATAATCATAATTGTCTTTCATGTATAATCCAATATGCTTCATTTTGAAGGAGATGGCATATGGCATGTCTCTTTTAGCTACTAATTAAAACGCTGTTTTGTTTTGGCCTAGTAGTTAGTGGACATGAGACGTGTCATATATGAAATATGTTTGTTAATAAAAATTAAGAAAATTACTAATAAATCCCAATAACAAGTGAGTTATGATTATTTATTATTTTGAAACTTGTCATTACAGTCTGCTCTTTTCTCATTACTATATGCTTTATTATTATTGAAATTTTTTAATAAATATGTTTCTTACTTAGGATTTTATAATAAATAATTATGTTTCTTACTTTGTAATATAAATTATATTAGAAAGTGAGTTTTTTATTTAAAACCGAAGAAGTATAGTTTATGATTGCGTAAGTATCAAATCTTTCCAAACAGAAATAACTTCACCTTTTGGTCACTCTAAACAACAAAAGTTCTATAATTAATTACATTAATTACACCCGATATTTTTTTTATATATAATGATTCCTTGTATGTAGAGATATATATTATATGTGGTGAAAATTTAAAAGAAAATATATGCTTATTTTCCTAAATCTTAAAGATAATTATCGACTAAATGTGTGTGCTTATAAAAAACCACTGATAACGAACTACCTTAGTATGTCTGTCAATGGTTTTAAGGTCGTTTAAGCGCGCACACACATATATAGTTGAATAGGATCCTTATACCTATCATTTTCAAAACATATTATTGAAAAAACATCGAAATTAATATAGATATGAGTTTGAAATATTCCTTACTCTTGTTGCGTCTCACAGATAAGGATGGGGTCTCTATGCACAATGAAAGGACATTATTAAAAGCTTCCTCTTTTTTTTTTCATCGTTGACCTCGTAAAAGTAGGATAATATGCCCTCATTTGCTCTCCAGCAAATTCTTATTATATATATATATATATATATATATATATTTCCTTTACTTTTTCACACACACACACACACATGCCGGCAGCTGAAATACGCATTCACACGGGCAAGACATCCACAACAGATATAAATTATTTCGATTGTAATCTCCCATATGTTCTAGGAAATTATGTTTGAATTTCTTGAATTATACTTTGAAATGGGAAAAGTAGAGAGATCTCATAGATTAATTAAATAGGGTTTTGGGGGGAAAATGTATATATTCATAAAATTAATGTTTTAAGATTTTAAATTAATATATGGCATCGAACTCATTTATATGCATAATTTTTAAACTCAAAAGGCTTTTTTGTATTTGCTTATATGTTAAGTAAGTACTTTCATGTAAACAAAGGCAAATTAAAACTCCTTCATATACGTACTTACCTCATTTTTTTAATTTGTAAATCATGATTGTTACTTAGTATTTTTTACCAATTGGACCAATTTTTATTGTCTTCTAGGCCACACACATGGAGACTTTGGTTAAGATGTTTAATTAATAGGCATATCTTATAAACTTCTTGTTTTGATCTCTTGCTCCAGTTTTCTCCAAAATATCCCTTCACTAATAATTCTATTTTAGGAACTTATTGATTAATATTTTAGATATTTGCGTCTAATTGTCCATGAAAATCTTAATTAACCATGCCAAGCTAGATCGACCGAGAAAGCAAATATACTTATAGTAACTTTGTTTCGTTAATTAAACAAGCTGGCAGATTTTATAAGAATTAAAATTTGAAAACATAGAGGAGACTATATGTTAGAGTGAATAGATGGTTGCATTATTCTATTATTAGACTGTAGGACAACAACGTATAATTGAGATAATATTCAGAATTAATTAATTGCATTCTATAGTTCTTTCACTGAAGGAAACAAGATTCCAAATGATGAACTCCTTTATTTAACCTTCTAATATTAGAGCATTTAGAGTGAAGATCATGTTTTAATTATTGCACACAGAATTAATTTTTAAATAAAATGATTTTTAATAATTAATAAAAATTTATGAATATGGTAATAGTGACAAATTTATTTTTTTTTAAAAAAATTCTCCTTATATTTACTAACAGAATACAAATTTCACAGAGTTTTTTAATTGATTTTACACAAGTTGATTTTATTGACGCTTTAGTATATAAATTAATATTGATGGCCTTCATCTTAACTTAAAAGCTGAGACACATGATATTCCATAGGATTAAAATAAAGATTCATTAGTGAGATACGTAAAACACAATGGTTAGTAGAGGAGCCAAGTATATAATTTTCTAATCAGGCAAATTGATGTTTCAAAAAAAATTATTTACGATAACTACAGGTATATTTTGTCTTGTCCTCATCATCTACGTGATAATAACGTATAGTATTTTTTTTTGTGTTTGGGCCATCATATAATGTTTTATTATTGTATTTTTATTGTGTTTTTATGATTTTGATTATAACGTAACTATTGGCTATTGAGTGAATACTGATGAATACAACACGTGTAGTATATATCCAAACCCTTTTCATGTATTATTTTATCATGTTGGGCATGGGGAACGAAAACAAATAAGTAATGGATATTGAAGCAAGCCATATTTTAATTCAAGAGCTTAAAATTTAAGTTTATGATCCCTTTAATTTTGTTTTTATATTTTGTTTTGCTTGCCAACTTAATTATTTAATTATATACTATTTATCATACGTGGCAC